ATAAGATTTGTTGACAATTATAATCATTTAGCTTTTTTTGTAACCCATGACATTTTATGCAACTTTGAAAGACTATTTCTATAGTATTGTGAACAGTATATGAAAATTATTATAGCACATTTCCTTTCATTAAATATGGTAAAAAAAATAAAATAAAATTACACAGCAACAAGAAATACAATATTGCCTTTTAGAGTTTAAACAAGGGTTAAGCTTTCACTTCTAAAACTGAGAGCATAACTATGACAGTACAGATTTGTAAAAAGTATTACCTTTCAGAACTTAACATTTGCTATTCAGCATGCAATATTAAATAAATGTATGACATACATACCACTGAGGCAATTCTTTTTCTCCTAAGGGTAGTTACTAAGACAAATAATCTTTGTTACAACCCACTTTACCAGGGAGTTGTTTAGCTGTTTTGACTTGGAATTACTATGTTGACTCTGAAGCTCTTCATCTGGTCCAGTGAGGGTGCAACTGTCGACATTAGTGTTCTAATGTCTGTGTAACCTGAGTCGTGTTTCATTCCTTCCTGACTGCCAGCTGCAGTAAGTAGATATAACTTCCTGTGTTCTGCACAGGTTGATTTCTAATGTAAATAAAGTCAGGTGCATGAATAGCCCACCTGATTATTCTTTTGTAAATAAAACATGGGGAGCTACATTCAGTGTCAGTCAGAACTGGCAGGAAATGGCGAGCACAACAGGCAGTCAACCAAGCAGAAGCGAGAGTGAGAGATAGCGTCTTAGTTGGCTCTGTGGCAGTTGGACGAGCTGGTCTAGGTAGCCACGCAAAGCCACGCTACGACCAAGCCCGAGGACAAGAGTGACGACGGATTGTACAGGGAGAAATTTGTGCAGAGGTGGAGGAGGAACACCAAAGCAGGACGGTGTGCCAGCAAGGAGCCTGGACCAATTTGGAACACGCATCCACCCGGAAGATCACCTGGACAGAACAATGGAAGTATGAACCAGCAAGACTGAAGTTCCTGATCCAGTCAGTGTATGATGCCCTTCCAAGTCCATCTATCCTTTATACCTGGGGCCTTGCAGAAGCACCAACAAGCCCGCTGCGCCCTGCTCATGGTTCCCTGGAGAACATCCAGAGCTGCTGCCCTAAGGTGCTGGGAGAGGAAAGGAACACGTGGCGCCATAACCAGGTGTTGAAGGCAGTAGCAGACACCATCTGCACTGGAATCCAGGAGTCAAAGCACCAGTCTCCTTTGAGGTACAATATATTTTCTGTCAGGGCAGGGGAGAAACCTGAGAGAGCTGGTAAGGCACAACTGGACTGCTAGCCATGGCTCGGGATTGGCAGTTGCATGTGGATCTTGGAAGGCAGTTAAAGTTCCCAGAGCACATTGCAAGGATGTTAATGAGGCCAGATCTGGTCTAAACATCTGACTCAACAAAGCAAGTCGTGTTACTGGAGCTTACAGTCCCCTGGAATGACAGGATGGAGGAGGCTCACAAAAGGAAGAAGGTGAAATATCTTGAGCTGATTGAGGCATACAGACGCTGTGGATGTGAGCCAATAGAAGAGGGCTGCAGAGGCTTCCTCAGTCAGACTGTGCGTCAGGCATTCAGGTTCCTTGGCATCAGAGGGTTGCTTGAGAAAACAGCCACCAGAAACATCAGTGAGGCCGCTGAAAGAGCCTCAAGGTGGCTGTGGATCAAGAGGGGAGGCGCATGGAATAGCGTGCTGCTTGAACACAAACTGGGTCCTGATCAACCCCAGTTGGGTCGCCCAGACGAGGATGTCTGAAGATCAAAGACCCAAAACACCCTATGACCCTGGGTCCTTCACTGATGATGTGTTCAAGCTGCACCGGCTAGGTGTTTCAAAATCTAGTGTCCTGGGATACTCTCGCTGAGAAGTTCAAAGTGACCGATGTGACAGGCAGTCATGGTGGAATTGAGAGAAACTGATAACAATGATTTTTGCTTTAGAAAGATTTTTCTGTTTAAAAAAATTTAAAGAGTCAATATCTTACCTGTGGAATACAAATCTTGCTTCATATGAACTCAGATTACTATTTCTTCAGGTTCTGGCTATGGGGTTCCAGGGGCAGGACAGTCTCTACACCAGCGAAGTAATGAGTCTTGAAGGCTAAACCTAATGGCTAATAAACCAATTGGTCTCTTATCGTTAAACAGCTCCACTCATAACCCAGAGTGATTTAGGCCTTGGTTTTTAAGTTAATCTGCTTGGCCTCTCATAGTCTTGATTTAGTCCAGAAATAGCTGTTTAAAATTGGGCTGTGATTGGTCGGTCTGATTTTGTCCAACTTTAGTCCAATAATAGATGTTGAAAAGATGTTAAAATGCAGTTTTCAACATCCTTTCCACAAACTGAAAATTACAGCTTTTCACCTTTCGTTTTTCAACCAAATGTAGACATAGTTTTGACATATATTCGTTGCCTTTTCAATGTCTTTTCAACCAGTTTTTGTTCCGTGGGAATTCCTAGTTTTCTAGTTTTCATCACACTGTTTGAGCAGTTATTGAGAGAAAAATTCTGCGTTATTTATACAAGGAGTGAATGTTAACGGCAGTGCACTACCAATGAACTTCCTGTGTATAATAAGCATCATAAAATCATTAGGATCAAGTTCACTTAAACATATGAAATAGTTTTTCTCTATATACTGTAATATTAGACATTTACACAATTGATGTTTCACACAGGAAGATTGTAAGTGGTCCACGTCTCCCACTTCTACTTCCTGTGTAAATAATCATACTTTTGTGTAATTCAATGCAAACATGATGACGGTTTAAAGGGGTCATAAAGTAGAGATTGCTTTAACCACTGCCATGCTTTAGAGGTTGAAGTTGTTGTAAGATTATAAAAGTCTGCTTTGGTCTTTGCCCCATGCGGACAATGTTCTAGTCATGTCTTAAAAACAAGTTGGTTCTAGACAGACAGAGAGTGGGATTAAATATTATGTTTAAAAAAAGGAAGGAAGAGGCAGAATTAGGAAAAATAATGATGCAGCACAGGGAAGCAGAGTAAAAGATAAACAGGGAGCTGGAATAAGAAAGAAGTATAAGTAAAAAAAAAGTGGAAAATAAGCAAAAATCTCAAATGAAGCAGAATGTGATGTTTTTCATTGATATTGGTGACTGCAAAGGTGAGGGCAGTATTTAAGAGATGAAGGAAACACTATATCGTAAACAACAAATCTGTTTGAACACCTGTAGCCCTTGTTCATTGAAAAGTTAAAAAAGGCAAACAATACTATGTTTTATATAGGGAAAATACAGAAAATAAAGGGTTTGATAAATATAGCTAGTAAAAAAGAATGGCTTTCCAAAACAACCATTGATCGTCACCGGAATAAGCTCAAATAAAAGGATTATAGTGATATAAATGAAAGCTATTTGTGAGCCAGCTGCTGTAAAGGAAAAAGGAAAATACCTGTAGTATTCAGCCCTACTGTATAACCAGCTATTTTGGGTATATACAAAAAAAAGAGGTCATAAGTTTTCTATTCCTGGCAGCTACTTTAAAAGTGTGTATATTGACTCTTTTAGAGTTATTACAACAACAACTGGAGTAAAATATACACTATGTATTTAACACTAATTCTCAGTGGGACAAAATGCACTCTTAAAGTGTTACTTTAACATTTCAAAATTTTCCTTGATTTTTTTTTATTTTATTTTATTTTTTCTAAATGTACTGTATCTAAAAGAAGCCATGTTTTTTTTTTTTTTTTTTCATTGCTTTCCACTAATTGGTCTTGAAAACTTCAAGAAATGTAAAGCTTTTACCAAGCACAGAATCAGGGAGTGAAAGCATGGATGTGAATGACTCATAAGGAATGCTTGAGTGTCAAACACCACGGCTCTCTCCATAAATTTCCAACTCTAACACTCAGCCTTTAAAATACTGTACCTCTTTCCAAACAAACACTGAATCTATTTGCTTCATCAGAACAATTTATTGGACTGGATTTAAGTATAATAATTTCTTATGGTGTTTCAGAAAATGTAAAACAGAAAAAATAGAGGAGAGCATGTTATTCTAAGAAATAAATAAGTCCATGGGAGGGAATGACAAGATCTTTACAAAATTGAAACAAGTTCTATAAGAAGAAGCCAACATTAAATTCATAAAACTGCTTCCAAGTTTCAGTCTCTTTGGAGTTGATTAGATTTACTTTTTCTTTAAAAATAAGTTCCAAAACATGACAAAGAACTCAAGAATTTATCGGGCGGTCAACTCCAGCAGAGGCGGTGCAGGGCTGTTTCAGGGCGCATGGAACCGTCCCTTAACAGAAATGGATTTGGGTTCCTTTTAGCTACCATGTTCTAAATTTTGTTAATAATTTCTGCAGTTATGTGGAATGTTGGTGAAGCTTAAAAACAGCTGCAATATATTTTACTTAGGAAAGCGGTCCGGCTACATTCATTTGCACAAAAAAGTTCAAAGCCCCCCACATTTACTTCATACACGAATGCTTTAGGCTGACTCTGGATCCCAGTCATTTTGCTCCGCCAAAACAAAGCACATAATCCCCTAATAGTCCATTTTAAAATCATTACAGTGATTAATCAAATCAATTTAACATGAAGTATTAAAGCAGAGACCGTACACTCCACTTTAATCTAATTTTATGTTGAAAAAGGACAAAACATTACATGCTGGGATAGTAAAATACGTAAAGTTTATGGTAAGTCAGGTAGTGAAGCCGTTCTGATATACTGGCTAAGGTTTGTTCAAACACATCATCCTGTAGCATGCAAACATCTTTTAAGAATAGTACCTTACTCATCCCTAGTTCTGACAATGTTTTAATGTATAAAACAAGAAGGAAGCAATAATTTGCATGTTATGAAGAAAATGATTAAAGAAAGAAAACACTGACACTTATACCCTGTTTTTACCAAACTACTTTCAATACAAGCAGTAAGAGCTCTCAGTGGAAAACACGTGCAGATTCAACAACACTTCAACAAAATAATAATAAAAAAAAGACATCAGAATGGTTTAACATCTGCTCTATATTGATATCTTTATTAACAATCATAGCCACATTCTCAACATTTGGAGATTTATAAATATATATATATTTTTTATTTTGATTCATCAAAGTCATCTCAGCACTTACGGCATGATTCCAGTTGTGGGGAGAAAAAAAAAAAGAACAACAATCTAAACGTCCTCATTGCTTCATCAAGCACTCTTGTCCAATCAGCAGTGTTTTCTGCGGAGGGGAGATCCGTTATTTACAGGATGGCTTTTTTTTTTCTTTACAAAACCACTGGCAGTAGAGATCAGAGTGAACAACGGGCTTAAAAACCATCCAGTGCACGCCACCTGACTGATTGTTCACCATGACATTGCCACTGACTGCAAAATGCCAGCACCAATCCCAGATATTCCATGCATGGATCAAGGTTAAACTCTGACTGGTGCTTGTCTAGCCCGCATTTTCCCTCCGTGTTGGATTCTTTTTGCATCGGCTGGGGTGGGGGGGGGGGCATTCGGAAATGGAGGGGGGCAAACACTATCCTCCAGATATATCCACATCGTAGTGTCCAGACATAACAGGAGAGGTCATGGATTTTTGTCCACACACACACGCACAAAACTTTGAGTGTTTAGGCTAAAGCCATAGGGCACCAGGGTTCCCCCCTCACCGAAGCTACATCTGACGGCTGGGTCAAACCCACACTGGTGTACAGGCTGTCCTGTCCCGGGTATTTCACCACTGAGCCTGAGCCGGTTGCTTCCCCTGAGCCAGGCAGGACGGACGAAGTGACCTGCAAGAGAAGCAAACAAATGTCAGCCAGGAACATCTTTTGGAATTATGTTACCCTTCTAGATTTTTTTGATGATGAGAAAGTTCAGTATACAAAGTGTTTCTTTTTTGTGTTTTTCTGTCTTCTATTTAAAGCAAATGTTATAATATGTGCTGAAGATACAGAAAACTACTGCTGAGGAACACTTTACAGAACAGATCCTGCAAGTAGCCTGTGCATAATTCATGTCTAAATATCTAATTGCTAATTTATAAAACAAGATCTTCCCTCATTATCTTATTTTTATAAGCTGTGATTTATATAAATGTTTACATTTGCTTATGCTGCAGAACCTGTACTGTAGTTGGCTAGTTTGAATACATTTATAGTTTTTACTTAATACATTTACACGACTTACTTAATGCAATATCTTAAACTCAAAACACTGAAACACAACAATTCTATTGTAGTTTTATATTCAAATACTGTAAATTGTCATTCTCAAATTAGCCTAACGGTAATTAAAGAACTTGTTAAACTTTTATCTTGTTTATTGTTTTATCTGGTAATTATAAAGGATTTTTGCATAAAGCAAACAGGCAAGATTGACCCAACTTCTTCAGTGTCCAAGCCATGAATAAATGTTCATTCCAAGATCCACAAAGACCTCTTCTTTGGTTTCATTATTATACCTAACTGACTCTAGTATAGTGAAGGCTTTATTTTAACTGTAATTCAATCAGCAATTGGTACATTAATTACAAGAGAAGTTAAACACTGCAGAGTAAAGTAGAAGTAAATTACTAAATAAACCATATCATGCTATATAGATTCTGCTAGTTTAGGTTACAAAATTATATGCCCCCTCTGTGTGATGGCTATTGCTTTCTCACCATGTAGATTCATATTAAATACAGCTGGAATAAAACTGCTACTTCTGTTTTGTGTGTATCTAAATTGATGACAATATGAACTGGCATTTATAAACTGAACAAAAGAATGCAAAATAAGGAGAATTGATTTCAAAGAACAAAATTAAAACCTGAGAGGAAAGAAAGTAAAAATGGACGTGACCCACTTAAAATAAAAATCAGTGTCTTATTTATCATTTAGACGCATGATTGAACGAAACTTATTCTTAGGATGAGAGACTGCTTATTCATTAAATGAATGATGTTTTACTATGGAAATTGCACAACGGATACAAAAAACTGACTATGCTGCTATCAATGTGGCAAACTCTATCTGATATAATCCTGATGGATTTTACAGAAAAACCTGTGAACTTCTGAAAAATAAATCCTAATCTAAAAAAATATATCCTCTAAATTTTAGTATCAGTCCCAGTAACTTTATATAATTTTTAAGCAAATCAAAACAAATACGACCTTTTGAAAAGACACTTTATTTCACAGATATTTTACCTTAATCCCTGTATTTCTAATGGCTATTTTAGGACACTACCATAGCAATGACTACTGCTATTATGCTTCTACTTTTTCGTTTAGCCAATAGTTTCTGACAGTACACATGTAATTTGGATTAGCGATAGAACCCTATTAAACTGTGTTTCCTGTAAAAAACAGACATGGTGGAAGTTATTTTGCATGTATTAAACTACTTGGGAAAAGCACATCAGGAAATGAGAAAAGTAACAAAATATTTAAGAATCTATCAAAGAATATTATATTGTGAGCATTAAAACCTCTCATGCCCTGATAATTATTAGCCAGTATGACTGAACTAGTATCTAGTTTTCTATCCTATATAGTTATTTTTCTGCTGTTGTAGATCGCTGCTGTGACCTGTCCTATTTTTGTCTGAATAAATGTATCTTATCCCAGCTTTATTTGATAGAGTCGAATATGAAATATAGAAATATCTTACTATGTCCCTTTTCAAGGAGCAAATCTGTCCTGTCAATGTAGGGCAACCATGATTCATTATCCTTGGCATTTTTTTTTTAAATATAAATTATATGGCTCCCCACCCATGGTACCTTACTGCCAGAGGAAAAGACTTTCAGTGTGGAGGGGGGCATTTGTCATAACAAATATTAACAGGGATCTTCCAAGCACTCGTTCTTCAAATAATTTGGAGATTTATAAAAATGTAATACTATTTCTTAAAAAAGAGAGAAATTTAAAGCCTTTTTGGCTTCAGAAAATGTATAAGGAAAAAAACATTAATTCCTCAATTTATACCCTGGACTATATTCTTTTTTAACATGAAGTTAATTTTTGAGACCAATTTTTGGTGAAAAAAAATATATAAAAGCAAAATGAGGGTGCCTGTTTCTCCCAGAATTATAATGAACATCTCCTTAGGTTACTATCCAATATTTCATGGGACCTAATTGCAGGATCTACTGAGGGTCTATTGAACACTTCCCAGTTTGTCTTTAAGCTGTCAGGAAGGGAAAATTATAAAAATGAATCTTACCCCTGAGACTTGTGCAGAGGGAGAGCTTGTTTTGGAGCAGTCTTCAGAATTGGATGAGGAGGTGGATGTGGGAGTCATGGAGACAGAGTTGTTGGTGCCTGTCACGGAAACAACGATTATTACATTGATGCAATTTAGGGCAGATGCCAGACAGGGCAACAAATCTCACCTGAAGATCCTTTGGTTTTATTTAAAGTTTTAGGTTTTCTTTTTCGTGTCTGGATCCCCTCTTTCTTCATGGCGAGCGGCCGAGGTACCTACATGGTGAAAGAGGGAAATCTCATTTAAATCAAGGGGTTTGATTAAGGGATTGTCAGCAGGAATGTTGAAATAAAATGAACTCACCCCGTGTAGCTTAGTGTAGAGGCCACATGCGTTACATACTGGTTCTCCTTCTGCATTCCTGCGCCACAAGGTCGTTGTGCTTGTCTGACAGTTTGCGCAGGAGAGGCCGATTCTTCTGGAGGTTGACTGTTTGAGCGAATAGGAAATAAAATCTTAGATATAAGTAAAGTAATCATTAGATATAAGTAAAACATTTCTTAGATCAAGTTTCAGTAGGTTAATGGGATGATTTGATAATGGAATGAGTATTTTCACTCTTAAAATAAGATGATTAGATAATATGCACTTGTAATAAGACAATGCAGTTGCTTTTTCTTATTTTAATGTAAATTCTCTTGTTCCATTGGCAAAGTGTCTCACTTACCTCTTCAATTCAAGACTAAATGTATTTATTTTAAGAAAAAATTACTCTTTTAGATTTTAAATTTTTTGCAGTGTAAGAAAAATATTTGGTCTTAAGTTGTTTAAAAAAATACCACCCTCCATTAAAATCACACATCAGTCATTAAAAGATCATTTCTTTTTAAAAATATATATAATTCTATTGTGATTTCCCTTTTTAAGTGGACGTCTTTTAACAGCATGTTACTTTAGCAGGAGATAAAAATGGGCTGTGAAAACACTGCTTAATGGAACTAGGAAGTATTTGTCTAAAAGTTTAAATTGTTAAACATGCTGTGCTTAAAAAAATATAAAATTATATTTCTGGATTAAGAAGAAAAAGTATTGAGCTTGTGCGTGGTTTAAAATAATAATTTTGAGATTAGGATTGGACAGCTTTTTTCTTGGTAAATTATAAATTATGCATCCACTTGATCATTTTAACATGATGGTGACCAGTTCAACCTAATCGTTTATTTTAGGAATAAATGTTCAAACATTTTATCTTTTTTGACAAAGACTGGGGGTTAAAACATGAACTGATAAGTAGGCTTTTTTCCTTTCATCATTCACTATGACCTCCAGGAATTGTTCGGGACAATTAGGCAGGAAATTGAGCGCTCAGGCGGTGCCCCTATCTATCTGTCTCCTTACCGTCCTTTTCTGTGGTTTAATTAATGGTCGGCTCAGCCCATTCATTTTGCTGTAGAGGCCGCAGGCGTTGCAGAGAAAGTGGCCCGTGCCGTCGCGCCTCCACAGCGGCGTGGAGATGGAGCCGCAGTTCACGCATTCCCTACTCTCCGCCATGTCCTCCAGGATATCTGAAACTGAGCACAAACGCATTTGGTCAAAAAAATTAAAAATAAAACACATTTATCATATGTGATTTTTTTTCCCCAGACATTTAATTTTAGAGCTTTTTTTTTTTTTTTTTTAATAGTCGGGCAATTTTTTATTCTATAATAGTAGACATGTATAAAGTAAAAATGTAGGAGTTATAGAACCTGTAAAAGCAATTTAGTCTGTGTTGATTGCTGGTTGTTATTTTTTTTTTATTTTGACATTCGCATTTTTATTAATTAATTTAATTATTATCATCATTATTATTATTATTAGAGCAGTCAGGAGGGCCGCCAATGAGGGGATCTAGGAGGCCACCTCTATAAATCTGTTGAGCAGTCCAGCAAATATTACCGACATGCATGAATTTAAACTTTCCTGTCCAATAATGTGCTTATTTATTGTGAACGACTGGCATATATATATATATTTATATATAAATAAACCGAATAAGTTGTAATATTTATATCTTATTTGATTTCTCAATTATAAGTATTTTTAATTAATTAATTTTTAGATGTTTATGTCGGCTACGTGTCACTTGCAACCACAACTATTTTAGAATATTATGAACAAGTCCTTAAATCCCCAAAATGTGCTGTAGTCACCATTTGGTCATCCCCTTTGAACGTTTTTTGAAGGTGTTCCTATGTGCAAAATTATATGTGAATGCACTCGCATCTTTAAACCTCTTTAGCCTCATTTAAACAATTTTGACAACTCAAATGATGTTTTGTAATTTAAATAATTATTTAATTCCACTTCATGCGTCGCCTTTTGCGCTTCTTTTGTTCTTACCTCCGTTTGGACCTCTAATCAAGGGCGCTCCCCTGCTTTGCAAAGTGTGCAGCATGGTGTTATCAAAAGGTCCCCCGGTCCAAGGTGAGGGTAGCTGCGGTGTCACATAAGGGGAGTATGGGTTCGGATAGGTCCCACTGAGGGGCCGGGAGAGGCCGTACTGGTCCCTGCTGCCCACATTCAGCGTGTTTGTGTAGCTACTGTCCCTGGGGGTCCCGTTGTTCATAGGCGGACTAGGGGGGTAGTGGAACCGGCTGGTGGTGTGAGGGCTCCCGGCGCTGTAGGACGATGGGCTCTCCGGGTTGGACTGCGACCAAACAGAGTGGCTGGAGACGCCGTGCGCGGATTGCGCAGAGCCGCCAGCCTGCAGATAGGAGAGGCTGGAGATCATCGGGTTTACCCTGGAGCTGGGGACGTAGACCGGGGAGTTAGGGCTGGAGTGCATGTAACCACCGGAGGAAGAATCATATCCAGTCTGGCTCTGGGCGGCGGCGATGGCCAAAGTTTGGTACATGTCTGCGGGGTCCACCAGCAGGCTTGTCTTGTGCGCTCCGGCGGAGAGGACGAGCTTGCTCCCTTGATCCAAGTCCGTAAACAGCGGGATGTCCTCGCCGGTGCTCGTGGCGTTGCCGTGGTGTCCGAAATGAAGGTAGGAGTGAAGCGACCTGTCCGGGCGGCGGTGGCCCAGCACGTCCAGCTCACTCGGAGGCGTGGTCCCGTCCCTCCTGCTGCTGTCAGCGGGCAGGTAGCTCTGCTCGGCCGGCGAGCCTGGGCTGCTGGAAACTTCTCGCTTGACCATGGACCAGCTGTTTTCCCCCAGGTCCATCCAGGAGCACTTTCCATACACAATCAGAGTAATAAAAAATAACTATCAGAGGGCCGACTACCCTGCAAGAAAAAAAAAAAAAAGCTTTAAGGAAACCATGAATCTAAATGATTATCCATCCAAAGAGTGCCATGCTTTCATAAAGCGCCCTTGTCAAAAAGCTCCACTCCCACCAACGCGCAAGCTTACAGACACCACAGATAGGAAACAAAATGCAATATGTCTTCACAGCAAAAGAGATAACCGTTTGATAAGACCCTAAAAGAGATAAGGGGTGAGCGATAAAACGAAACCCCCGAAATAACCACTTCATTCCCGCTGCGTTTAACAACTCGATTGAATCCCATTAAGAAGACTGAAAAAGAAGGATGAAAAAAAAAGAAAGTAAAAAAAACAGTTTGTACCTTTTAGTTGATTGCCATAAAGTCGCAGGAGTTTCCCAGCTGTGCGCTTTGCGTTGGTTTCTGCTGCTTCTTCTCCTGGGAGTAACGGGAAGCGTCAGTGAGCTCTGACTGGGTTTATGAGAGGAGGCGCCTGGAGCGCAGCGGCCGCAGCCACGGGGCCAATCAGGGGCCAGCTGGGGACTGGGAGCTCTGACTGGGTGGAGAGGAGGCAGAGCGAGGACCAATCAGGGGCGGCTTGCACAGGGAGCTCTGTGGGGGTGCCAGCCTGAGAGAGCCCCTCCAATCAAAGGGAAACCCGATCGCAACTAGAAACTTTGATTTCAACACGCAATCAGAGAGAAGTTGAAGCTGGAATGGGCTCCTTTATTTACTACGTTTCAGTCTCATCAACAGCTTTAAACGACGATAGACCTTTTAATTACATTGTCATGTAAAGTCTGGTCAAAACCGGTAACTATTTAATTTAATTTGGTTTATTGTGTTTTTTAAACTTAGATGCAGATGTTCAAAGTGCTGCAGCATCAACACATAGATCAAACTTGATTTAATGAAAGAAAATCTGAGAAATGTGATTACTTTTAAATAATTAGATACATTTTAGTAGAGCTAGTTGAACCATATTTAAATCATTCGTGCACTGCAAAAAATGAAATCTAAATAAGTAGTTTTTTCTTAAACTAAGTGCATTTGTTCTTGAATTGAGGAGGTAAAGTGAGACACTTTGCCAATATAACAAAACAATTTACATTTAAAATAGGAAAAAACTGCATTGTCTAATTACAAGTATATATTATCTAATTATCTTATTTCAATAGTAAAAATATCATTCCATTCGCAAATCATCCCATTTAACTACTAAAAGTAGGGAAAATACACTTGATTTGAGACATTTCTACTTATTTCTAGATTGTTTTCGCAGTGTATAATAATAATATAATATAATAATCTCCCTACTTCTATCTATCTATCGTTTAGAAACCAAAGATAATCTATAAAATCCTTTATTGGTTTCCCCTCTTTTGTAAACCGACATTGATCAATAACTCATAATTGGTTTATTTCAGTGGGGCCACTCTTTGCCAGCAGCTTTTCAGGATGCACAAACTGCTCAGCTTTCTGCCGCTTTGAGCCGCGATGATTCGCTCAGCCCGAATATACATTGTGATGATGAGTGAAGTGATCAAAACAGGAGATGAAAAGGGAAAAAGGTGACGAGGTGTCAATTAAATCATTGTCTTCATTTACAGGTGTTTTCAGGTGCGCGTTGGGGAACACATAAGTAAGCACGAGCTTGTCAGCAGAGCTATTAATAAATATTTATATATAAAACTAGGCTACTATGGTTAATAAATGCTTTATTTTATCTAATTTATTACTGTTATTATATATTTATAATATTGCATAATAATCTTAATAATAAACAAGCTGACTTGCAGGAAGTCTATATTACAGAGGCTTTCTCAAGAAATCCCAGGAAAAGATTATTTGCTGATTTATTGTAAAATGTTTTCTAAGCTGCATAAAGTAAGACGGTTCTCCTTTCTCTGGCTACATCTAGCCCACATGTCACTGTCTACTGTCTTATTTCTTAGTGGTAGCAGAAGGTCTAAGGAAGTTGCAAAGTTTTTCAGATGTGTTCTAATATGTCCAAACAGAGTCAGCCTGATGTATATGTGAACAATGCGGCTGTTCAGATTCCCCTGCTTTTCTGAAGCGTCCAAGAGAATTGGAAATCTTAGAGAAAGAAAAATCTCTAAATCTTTAGAGTTTTTATTTTATTTTTATTTTTTTAACACCAATGGCAAGGGCAAATATAAAACATTTTAGAGATACAGTGACTTTGTTGGGGGGGTTGCTTGATAATAGAAGGATTGGGGCTCTGACATAGGATGACCAGAGCCTGCTGTCTTATTTGAGATTTATTACCAATAATAATAAAAATGTAACTTTATTCACCTCACATTTGAGGCATTTACTTCTACATTTAACCCATCTTTTTGGAGAGCAGTGTGGGGTTAAGGGTCTTGCTCAGGGACCCAGAGTGGCAGTCTGTGTTGGTGGGACTCGAACCCACAACCTCAAGATTCCAAGCCCTAACCACTAGGCCGCCACTCCCAACTTTGAAATGAAAGTCAGGCGCCTTCATAAAACCATTGGTTCTGAAATCATATTTTGGGGGGGGACCTTTAAGTGATGTTGAAGGAAATATTTGAGAAATGTCTAAAAAAAAAAAAAAAAAAACCCAGTAGATTTCAATACAGAATGCAACAATAAACATATATAAATGGGGAGCAAAAAAACATAATGATGCTTATCAGGAAGTGGGGCTCTGGTGTTATTCTACCTGAGGCCTTACAATCCTTATAACCATTGTAGATTTAGTAATTACACAAGAATAAGGATAACAAATGACCCTTTATTGTTTGACATATCCATGGGCTACTGCTGCTGTCTTTTTATTAGACACACTGTTCATGCTGGAACACAACTACTGGAAGATCCTATCTTTTTTTTTTAACTACAGCAGAAATAAATCTAACCAAAACTGTAGTCTGTTTAATAGAGGATATTGTTATAAGGTAGAAGTGCATTTATTGTAATGTTCCTGCTATTGAGCGCATAAATAGAGGCCATTTCTACACTGCTGTTTGTTTTTCTGTGTGCTACTGAATCCCATATAAATAATATAGTCTGGGTTTTTTTTGTTGTTTTTTTGTTTTTTATTCCATCCGACCGCTCTGGTTTAGTCCTTTTGTCTGTGTTTTATATAATTATTGTTTTCTTTTTGATGGGGGGGTGCGGGACTAAGATTTAATCAGTGTCTGTAAATCCAACTAATTCAAATCACTTTCAGTTGGCAGTTTTTAGAGAGGCGGCAGCAGTCTCTCTCCGTCACCTCTCAGGGCTTTTTTCTCTCTCTCTCTCTCACTTCTTGTTGATGAATGAGGTGTTTTCTTTCGGAGAGATGTCAAAAGTGTGCTTCTAGTCTGACACGCGGGTCCGCAGGGAAACGTGAGGAGGAGGAGAAGTGGCAGGACGCCGCCCTGTCTCCTCTCTTTATCCGCGCTGAGGCCCTCCGTGCCTGCTGTCTGGGAAGACATGCAGCTCTCTAATCTAATTGCCTTATCACACTAGCTGACCATTGGGCCTATAAACTGGACAAAGACAGCCAGATTGGGTCTGAACTGCGAATAGTCTTTCCCTAAACTTGGATAAATGGGCCTACTGTACTTAAAAAAAAAAAAAAAACACTATAAAATTAAATTATTATCAGCCTATAATGACTATAATTATAATAATGATTATTATTAATAAAAAAATTATAGAGATATCCTAATTTTATCTGGATTCTAGTTTGTTTATTTCTTAGAGGTGTAACAAGCTGATGAGCCTCTTCAGGTGTCACAGTTTTATGTACCAACTTGATAACGATTATCTCCTCTGCTTTCATCTGCAGCTCCTGATTGACTCATAGCTACACTGGAAAAAAAATAATAATAATCGAATTTTTTTTCTTAAAATAAGTGCATTTGTTCTTGGATTGAGGAGGGGAAAAAGAGACATTTTGCCAATGGAACAAGACAATTTACTTTTAAAATAAGAAAAACACAATTGCATTGTCTTATTTCAAGTGCATTTTATCTAATTATCCTATTTTAAGAGTAAAGTACTAATTCCATTGGCAAACTATCTAATTTACTCAGATTAAGGGTAAACACACATAATTTAGGATTTTTTTAATTATTTCTAGATCGTTTTTCTAGTGCATTCCTGCAGAATTCAACGTCTCATGTATAAAAAGAACAAATATTTACATTATATATCAATATTAAAAATAATACAGCTGTGGTGATATGTTTCAGGTGACACACAATGCGTTGCCTACCGTCCCCTCTCTCTCATAAAGGCCACTGGAGGTTTTTTTTATCACGCCCAGCTTATGAGAATGTGTGTGATGTCTCAGATATGATTGATGAGGAACGACGGCGCAGCAGGAAACGCGTTCAATTCATCATCTCAACTGCGTCCTTTTACGCGTCATTGTTTGGATGATGCGTGTTTTTAAGGGAGGGATGTTGCTGCTGAGGAGGAGGATTTCGTCAATACACAACTTTTGATTTGAAATGTGTACAAATACAAAGATAGAGAAACTGATTTCCTTCTCTTTTTTTTTTTATTAATTTATTTATTTATTTGCTCTTTTTTTTGTCTGGTGTTGCTCAATGGAAGATAATATTCTGACCATAAAATTTGCTTATAAAATTGTTTTGAATTAAGTGATCATACAAAGTTTAATTTTATACATAGATTAAAAAAATGAATTAATGTAGAAAGGGATAAATAAATTTTAAAAAATCAATATAAGCCTCTGTGCTTCTTTAAAAAGAAATGCATATATTAATCTAAGCAGCCAACACAATGCTTAAATGAAACATATACGCTTCCTAAACTTATTTCCTTTGAACAACTGATGATTCTTTTTTTCATATTATTTTCCACCCTCTGTATCTAGAAGCCTCTAAGTGCATCTTTAGTTTCCAAATCCATTCAGGTCTTGTTTTAGGTTAATAGTGTTAAAAGTATATTTTCTTTTTTTTTTTTCTTTTTTTTACGTTTTTTCCATTTTTTCCTGCTGAAGTTACCAAATCATAAATACATAAATAAATTCCCACTCAGTTCCACATTTGGTAAGAACTGAATAATGGTTCAATGAAGAGTTAAAAAATGAAATGGGAGAGAAATATGTAACAGATGATCAGGAATTTGCAAATAGTTTGCAAATAGATTGATAGGTTCAGAGCAGAGAGCTGTGTGCATTTTAAAGCATCGAAACTCCAAACCTTCAGCAGTTTTAGACCATTAAATTATAAACCAGGACAACATTCATGATTGTGATCAAATACACAACTCTTAGGAATGGATGCTTTGATGCAAAAACAGGGATAAGACTGTAATTTTTTCTATTTTCTGATGGATTAAAAAGTGCTTTCTCAGATAAGATTATTTTTCCCCTTTCAATGTGTTACATGTTTGGAAAAAAAAGGACCTAGAAAGAAATTGGTGGGTATTGGTTTGGAAAAAAAATCTCAACAGTTCATGTCTATTTTTCTGCTAACACGAACATCAGGTAAAACAATATTTATTTAAATAAAAGCTTG